ACAAAGAGAACCAAAGACAAAAACCACATGATTATCTCAATAGATGCAGAGAAGGCCTTTGACAAAATTCAACAGCCTTTATGATAAAAACTCTCAATAAACTAGATATCGAAGGAACATATCTCAAAGCAATAAAAGCTATTTATGACAAACCTACAGCCAATATCTTACTGAATGGGCATAAACTGAAAGCATTCCCTTTGAAATCTGGCACTAGACAAGGATGCCCTCTCTCACCACTCCTGTTCAATATAGTATTGGAAGTTCTAGCCAGAGCAATTAGGCAAGAAAAAAAAAATAAAGGGTATTCAATTAGGAAAGCAGGAAGTCAAATTGTCTCTATTTGCGGATGACATGATTGTATATTTAGAAGACCCATTGTCTCAGCCCAAAATCTCCTGAAACTGATAGGCAACTTCAGCAAAGTCTCAGGATACAAAATCAATGTGCAGAAATCACAAGCATTCCTATATACCAATAATAGACTTAAGGACAGCCAAATCAAGAACAAACTGCCATTCACAATTGCTACAAAGAGAATGAAATACCTAGGAATACAACTAACAAGGAATGTAAAGGACCTCTTCAGGGAGAACTACAAACCACTGCTCAACGAAATAAGAGAGGACACAAACAGATGGAGAAACATTCCATGCTCATGGTTAGGAAGAATCAATATCGTGAAAATGTCCATACTGCCCAAAGTAATTTACAGATTCAACACTATCCCCATCAAGCTACTAATGACCTTCTTCTCGGAACTGGAAAAAACCACCTTAAACTTCATATGGAACCAAAAGAGAACCCACATAGCCAAGTCAATTCTAAGCAAAAAGAACAAAGCTGGAGGCATCACACTACTGGACTTCAAACTATACTTCAAGGCTACAGTAATCAAAACAGCATGGTACTGAGACCAAAACAAAGATATAGACCAATGAAACAGAACAGAGGCTCTGGAGGGGTACCACACATCTACCACTTCTACAACCATCTGATCTTTGACAAACCTGACAAAAACAAGCAATGGGGAAAGGATCTCTGTTTAATAAATGGTGTTGGGAAAACTGGTTAGCAATGTGCAGAAGGCAGAAACTGGACCCCTTCCTGACACCTTACACTAAAATTAACTACAGATGGATTAAAGACTTAAACATAAGACCTAACAGCATAAAAACCCTAGATGAAAACCTAGGCAAAACCATTCAGGACATAGGCATAGACAAGGACTTCATGACTAAAACACCAAAAGCATTGGCAACAAAAGCCAAAATAGACAAATGGGACCTAATTAAACTTCAGAGCTTCTGTACAGCAAAAGAAACAATCATTAGAGCAAACCGGCAACCAACAGAATGGGAAAAATTTTTTGCAATCTACCCATCTGACAAAGGGCTAATATCCAGAATCTACAAAGAACCAAAACAGATTTACAAGAAAAAAAACAAACAAACCCATCCAAAAGTGGGCGAAGGATATGAACAGACACTTTTCTAAAGAAGACATATATATATATATATATATATATAAAATAATAAATAAATAATAAAAAAAATAAAAACATAAAAATGTTTTTAAAAAGACATATATGAGGCCAACAAACGTGAAAAAATGCTCATCATCACTGATTATTAGAGAAATGTAAATCAAAAGCTGCATTGAGATACCACCTCATGCCAGTTAGAATGGCAATCATTAAAAAATCTGGAGACAGATGCTGGAGAGGATGTGGAGAAATAGGAACACTTTTACACTGTTGGTGGGAGTGTAAACTAGTTCAACCATTGTGGAAGACAGTATGTGGTGCTTCCTCAAGGACCTAGAAATAGAAATTGCATTTCAGCCAGCAATCCCATTATTGAGTATATATCCAAAGGATTACAAATCATTCTATTATAAAGACACATGCACACATATGTTCATTGTGGCACTGTTTACAATAGCAAAGACCTGGAACCAACCCAAATGCCCATCGATGGTAGACTGGGCAAGGAAAATGTGGTACATATACACCATGGAATATTATGCAGCCATAAAAAATGATGAGTTTGTGTCCTTTGTAGGGATATGGATGAACCTGGAAACCATAATTCTCAGCAAATTGACACAAGAACAGAAGATCAAACACTGCATGTTCTCACTCATAGGTGGGTGATGAACAATGGGAACACAGGGACACAGGAAGGGGAGCATCACACACTGGGGTCTGTTGGTAGGGCAAGGAAGGGACAGTGAGTGGATGGGGAGGTCGGGGAAGGATAACATGGGGAGAAATGCCAGATGTAGGTGATAGGGGGATGGAAGCAGCAAACCACATTGCCATGTGTGTACCTATGCAACAGTCCTGCATAATTTGCACATGTACCCCAGAACCTAAAGTACAATAAAAAATAAAAATAAAAATAATAAATAGGAGTGTTTCCATGGAACCAATTTGATCAGCTTTAGTAATTGGAGTTATTTTTCATTCAGTCATCCATCTAACTGAACATTATAATTTAAAAATTAAGTCAAACACATAGGCAAAACTCATGGTGTAAATTTTGATCCTCTTTTTCAAAAATGGGAAAGCATTCACATTTCACTAATAAGTGATTAGCATTCTTCTCTTCAAAGTCCTCAAGATGGAAGAAATTCCAGGAACTAAAAGGGTTAGCTGTATGAATCTTCATGTTAATATCCCACAACCCTCTCAACCCACCCTTACTCCTAGAATAATCTGGAAGAGGCTCACCTGAATGTTTCTGAGGTCGTTTTCAGAAATTCCAAACCCTGGGTCAGCCTCAGCATTGATCTGTTACAGAGGAAGGGTTCCTTTTGCTGTGGTAATAATCAACCAGTGTTTATAAGGCAAACATGATTCTTTCCCCCAAGGTGCAAAAGGGGAGACAAAAATAAAAGACATGTTTTTCACTGTCAAGGCTCAAAATCTGGTTACAGGACCAAATATTTCAATATGAAACATTTAAAAAGAAAGCACACACACACACACACACACACACACACACACACACAACCAAGGCAACGTGGATGCTGGGAGTAGGAAGCAGAAAGAGGTCAAGAGAAGCAGTGTTAGGGAACAAGGCTCCCACCCTTGTGCCTGGGACAACACAGTCTCTCCTCCCTTCAAGGCGGTGGCCTCTGCTCCTCCTCACCCACTCTAAGTACAAGGTGGAAGATGGTTTGTCACAGCTCCTGAGTTTACAAGTTTTCCTAGTATAAGCCCCAGATAGCAATTACAAACCCTAAGTCCAAATTCCTGGGAGAAGGAATCTGGTCAGTTCCTTTTGGGCTGGCTGTCGACCTTAGATCAAATTAGCTAAGTGATAGGAGTGGGTGTCACATAGTAAAAATCTCTAATGCCTGACAACCTAAACGAAAGAAGCTTAGGTCTAGAAGTAACAGTAGTACTTTATGATTTAAGAACTACTCCTGTTATTATTATTATTGCCCTTAGTCTGATTTCCCAAGGTCAGAATATCTAGACCCAAATTAATGTGAATAATTTACTAAATACTTTTAAAACATACCCTGAAACTCAGTAATTAAAACTTTTGAGTTTTCTGAATTCCTTCTCTCACCTATTCATGAACTTGTCTAAGCAAAAAGTTATTTAGATTTTTTTTAAATGGTGGGATTATTTAGGATCTGAAGCGTGGAACAGCTGCAGCAAGAAAGATTGAAATGGCTCGTGAAAATGGCAGTGTGTGTGTGTGTGTGTGTGTGTGTGTGTGTGTGTGTGTGTGTTGAGTTGAGGAAGGCAGAAAAGAAAAAGAAAAGTTACTATATATTTAGAGGTAAAAAAGTAGAATTAAACATTCCCATAGAAGGGATTCTGCTCTCCACATGGGTCCTCACCTTATGCACTAGAATTAGGTTCTAGGAACTAATCTAATACATCATTGGACCCTCGTTACAGACTGTTTATGTGTTGGGGTAGGAAAAGCTGGTGGCATGGAAACATTTGGACTCATCTATGTGGTTTGTTGGATGATCAGTTCTTGGATCTATCAGGTCTAATACTTGCCATACTTTTAAAATGCTCTCCGGAATATCAAAGCAATTGAATCATTTGCTCTGAGTCCAGTTTGATTATTTATGAATGATTTGGCAATTGTAAATAGCCACTATTTCATAGGAGTCTCTTAGGCCCTCTTGGATTAAGTAGAGGGAAACAAATGAAGGTCATGCGAAAGTTTCAAGACAGAAATTTTTAGTTTTCAAAATCTGAAATGGCAAGATTGCAAAGTGAAGCCATCATGGAATTGAAGTGCTCTAGAGAGAGGTTTAGGTAACCCAACTGAAAAAATTCAAACCCTTGCATTTGACGTTTCAAACTTTCAAGAGTCCAGTGTAGAATAACAGTTTATTCAACAGCTATTTGTTGAGCATCTACTGCATTTTTTTGAGTTGTCAGTCTCCTGGACTTTTTTTTAAACCCAAAGACTTTAACTTGGTAAAGCTTTGGAGATTTGTTTCTATAAACCATTTAGCTATAGAGCCATGAAGTAATATTTCTAATATGGCTATATGCCACATAACATTTCAGTCAATATGGTGGTGGTCCTATAAAACTGTAATGGATTTTTACTGCATCTTTTCTGTGGTTATGTATGTTTAGATACAAATACCTACCATTGTGTTACAGTTGCCTACAATATTCGGTATAGTAACATGCTGCACAGGTTTGTAGCCTGGGAGCTAATAGGCTAGATCATGTAGCCTACGTGTGTATAGGCTGCGCTGTTTAGGTTTGTGTAAGTGCCCTCTAAGATGTTTGCATAATGAAATTGTTTAATGATTTCTCAGGAGGTAAGCCCATCATTAAGCGACATGATTGTATATCCAAAATTGTATATACTAGTCTTTTAAACTAATGTCAATTTATTTTGATAATATAGCCTTAATTTTATTATATTTTGATAGTAATAAAAATGTAATCAGGTACGTACAATTTTTTAACTCAAAAGTTATTTATTTTTTTTTTTGGTGTTTTTAAGGAGCGACGAAAGTTTGGCCCCTTAGGATGGAATATTCCGTACGAATTCAATTCTGCTGACTTTTCAGCCAGCGTTCAGTTTATTCAGAATCACCTTGATGAATGCGATATTAAAAAAGTGAGTGAAATTGGGCCTTTTTTCCTATTTTTATTGCCCTTCTTAAATCAGGGTTCTATGGTCATTTTAAGTTCATGATATGGTGTGAATTTGCTGAGCCCCAGGGAGCCCCCTTTGAAGGCACTTCTTGTTCTAATCAGGTACCTGCTGGTGCAGCCTGTCCCTGTCCCCAGTACTCACATACCACGGAAGCTAAACTGTCCGTGATGAGACTCAGTGCGTTGCAAAATACTGCAGCCTTCCTCACCTTACACTCAGGGGCCACGGTGCACTTCTGGAGAAGGTGTGCCTTAGGCCAAGCTTCTCCTCACTGGTCCTACTCTTGCCTCCTCAGAAGTGAAGATGGTATCTGCCAGCCTGCAGGAAAGTTCTTTTTCATCTTAAGTCGCTTCTTAACTGCTCAGCTTATGCATAAGAATAACAATACTTTCTCGAAATGGTCACTAATCATCATATGACACGTTGCAGTTTTCAAAGTTCTCATATATGCAGGATCTCATTTTTATCTTCACAACTCTGTGAGAGTAATAAAAAAAGGAATTACTATTTATTTATGTATTACCCATTTTATTGATGAGGTAACAGACAAGAGAGACTAAGAGACTTCCTCAAGGTCACAGAGCAAAGAACTTAAACTCTGTTGTCCTTTCACACATATAAAGGGTTGGAAGTTAATGAGCCTTGTTAATGAGCCTCAGATCCTGTTTTCTTATCTGTAAAATGGCCATTGTTTCTGTGAGGAACAAATGAGTTAGTGTTTGTGGAAGCATAGTGCACAATGCATAATAAGGGCTCATTAAATATGACTCTCTACTGTCTGGTCTTCCTTCCCAGAGTAGGGCTTCAAGGTAATTAGAGATTCTGCAACCTCAGTGTGGGGATGGTAAGCCATGATGAGTGTTTACGCTAGAACCAAACTTTCATTTTTCCTTGAAATGACAAAGGGATATTAAATTAAAAGCATGGCAGTCTGATGAAAAGTTATATTCTATGTATTCATATTCTGTGGTCAGTTATCGTTTTGGTACATACAAATAATATTTACCTTGAAATAGTTGCTTTGAAAGGAAACCAGCTGAAAAATAAAATTTTAGCCAAGAAAAAGTAAACAAAAAGCAAAGATCCTTCTTTCTCCTATCCCAAATGTATCAAGGGTTTAAAAAAAGAAAACTACTAATATCTGTAATATATTGCTAGTTCACAAATTGCTATAGAAATGAATATTTTGATGTAGTTTTAGCACACAGAATGAGATGCAGAGGATGGCAGAGAATGACATTGTAGAAAAATCTTGTGGATAAATAATTTTCTTGTTGTTCTCTTAATGATTCCAGAAAATATATTACTAAGAAAGCGTATTAAAGCAATGATTACTTGAGTTTCCTTCTTTCTTCACTAAACACCACTTTTCCCCTCTGTAACAGCTTGGCAGTACTACAATGAGTATTATAGGTAATTATATCCCCAGAGTGAAAAATAGTCTTTTTTCCCTATTTTAAATAATACATGTACAATATACTTACCAGTGTTTAGTATTGTAGATTTTCTCTTGGTGAACAAACTGTGGTGGTTCCAGCCATGTAATAGTGAAAGTGTTATTAATATAAAATGATGAATAATTTTAAATGCGAGTCTAGTGAGTGCTTCCTTTTCCAGACCTTTCCTCTAGGGAAAGACCTGAAATGTTTATAATGATGCTTTTGGGTTGACAATGAATAATACTTTTTTACTTTTAATAAAGGGCGTATCATGGAATACGGTTCGGTACATGATCGGAGAAGTACAATATGGAGGCAGAGTGACAGATGACTTTGATAAACGTCTGCTTAATTGCTTTGCCAGAGTAAGTCAATTTAGAAAAAATAAAGGTTGGAAACACATTTCACTGTGTTTTCCAATTTTGTTGTTTGTACTAGGTCTGTGAAACTTAAGCATACAGCAGAGCTGCTGCAAAGAATTAGCCAAGAAACAAACACATGTGTGTGCATGCACACACACACGCACACACGCAAACACACACACACAAAACAACCAGCAATCACTTGTGGTACAGAGCAGAGCAATGGTCAGTTCTCGTTGGTCTAGAGCTCCTTTCCCGTGTAGATGAAACTGCTAGTGCCCAGGGCCTCTCCCCAACCGCCCCTCCTCTATATTCCCCATTCCTGTGCACCTCACTTGTGAGGAAACACTGGCCATCATTTCTATGCCTCTTCCTCTGAGTGAAGGCCTCATTGTGACTTCAAGCCCCCAAATAAGTGATTGGGGGATTAATCATAATTTGAGTTTTCTCATCTCTTCTATTAGATTGGACAACTGAAAATTGAGGAAGTGTTCGCTTTTTCTCTGTGCCAAGTGAAATCCACATATAACCTGCTGATAAACATTTTCTAGAGAAAATTATTTCTTAGCAATTGTGGCTTTCACATCAAGGATGAATATAATAAATAACACCTACCAGACTCAAACTCTTCTTAAAATTTTTTACATTTTAGAGAAATAATAGACAACACACGACTGGAAAAAAATCAGATGTATTTTATGGTTATTAAATTCTTTATGTTGGGACCTATACCGGTAATTCTCTGCTTAAATGATCTTTTTTTCTTGATAAAATTAAAGCCTCAACAACAAAGCACGAGCTTTGGGAGTATTTCGATAAGCTGGGGATTGACCAGAAAACTGAGTTTTAACCTTTACATGTTCTAGCAAGTTTTTCTTTAAGCTATATATGGAGAACTGTGGAAAATAATAAGTGTTGGTAAGGATGTGTGGAGGTAGGAGCCCTGCTGCTGGGAGGTCAAATGGACACGGACCTCCTGGAAAGCAGTCCAGTAATACTGACACTAGGTATCCCAGGTAGGTATATCCCAGGACAAAATGTCCTGGGATATACCTACCTGGGATACCTAGTTTGTACAAATGGACATGTACAAAAATATTCATGCAGCATTGTATATGGAGCTGAAGGCAAGCATCATGGATTGTCTTCCTGGAAACAGAGGTGTTGATTTGCATCAAGTGCCTCCTCCCCTCCCTTCCTCCCAGACATGACCTTGGCTGAGGCAGCTCCCTCCCACTAGGGCAGTTCCTGGGGAGGGACAATGCCGTAAGCCCACAGTAGCCAATACTCCAGACAGCAGAGAGAGTGAGTACCTGCTCCTGAATGAGGATTAGGTGGGACATCACAGCATTCACTACAAAAACCTAAGACTCCTAAGAGAATAGGTAAGATGTGGTGGGTGAGCACCATGGCACACTATTGCTCACCCCGTGGGGTGCAGCCTGGTGGTCATAGTCATATTAAGTGTGTGATATGACTATCTTCTGAACCAGAATCCTCCTCCTGAGTATATGTCCCAGAGAAATTCTCAGAATGTACAAAGAGATTATTCATAGCATTGTTGGTGGTAGTGGGAAGTTGAAGGCAACTTAGGTATCCATCATGGGGAAATAGAGAAGTTACCTATTGTAGAGGCCTATGGTGGTTTACAATGCAGCAGTTGGAAGGATTGTCATCTATATGACATTATGCATACATCTTACAAATAGTGGTGAATGTAGAGCTTTAAAAAAAATAAAATGACATCTGTCAAGGAATATATGCCTAGTTCACAAGGATTAAATACATGTTCAAGGACATATATCAAGTACACTTAAATAGATGCCCTCAGAGGGAAAAGGAGACAGTGAGTGGATATCAGAACAGAATGGGGGTAAACTTAAAATAAAAGGGGCCTTGGCCGGGCGCAGTGGCTCACACCTATAATTCCAGCACTTTGGGAGGCCGAGGAGGGTGGATCACGAGGTCAAGAGATCGAGACCATTCTGGTCAACATGGTGAAAACTTGTCTCTAACTAAAAAAAAAAAAAATACAAAAATAAGCTGGGCATGGTGGTGCGTGCCTGTAGTCCCAGCTACTCAGGAGGCTGAGGCAGGAGAATTGCTTGAACCCAGGAGGCAGAGGTTGTGGTGAGCCGAGATTGCACCATTGCATTCCAGCCTGGGCAACAAAAGCGAAACTCTGTCTCAAAAAATAAATAAATAAATAAATAAATAAATAAACAATAAAAAATAAAAGGGGCCTAGATTCGTAAACCTAATAAACTCAGGAGTGTGAGAAATTCATCTCTGTATTTGAGATTCAAAGGAGAAAAGAACAATGTGTTAATAAGTATACTTTGTTAGAATAATTGTAAAAGTACCTAAAATTGGAGTTTTAGCAGTGGAGTGTAAGTTGTGGTTAGCTTCAGAATTGGTTCATCAGTAGAATGCTGATGGGATCGAGTGCATGGGTGAAAGAAGAGGGGAGTCAGGGTCACCCCTCGTTTTGACTTAAGCCACTGGATGCAAAATAGGACTATATAGAGAAGAGGAAGGACTGCAGCAGAAATGAGTTTTAGTGGCTAGGGCTGGAAATTAAGAGTTCAGTTTTGATCACATAACATTTGAGATTTCTATTAGACATCCAAATCAAGTTGTCTAAGACTGTAACTGCCTTGAGTGCAGGGACTTTGTCTTGTTACATCAGTGCCAAACTGAGCACCAGAAACAGAGCCCAACACTTGTCAGTGCTCAATAAATATTTGTTGAATAAAAGAACAAATGCATGAATGCAGGTGAACAAGGCAGCTGGATTTACAGATTTGGAGGTCCTGGTGGAGCTCAAGCATGGATATAAGGTTCTGGAATTCTTCAGCATGTAGACAGTGACAACAGAAAGTTGTTGTGTTGGTCCAGAGCTTCCAGGGAAATGTCTGAGCCAGGAGCATGGGGAGGGGGAGGAAGAAGTGCAGCTCTCAGCCTGCTCCACCTTCAAGATATCAAACAGGGGGATTCCCCTCTCTGACCTCTCTCCTGCCTTTCTTCCTCTTCTACTTCTTCCCTATACCCTGACATTTGGCATTTCGGACAACAGAGGACTAGTTAGCTGACCACAACCCCCTCCTAGAAGCCCAAGATTCTCTGTCCTCTGGGCCTGGGTTGTGCAGACTTCCTGATCTAAAAGCACAGGGTTCCATATTCAGGCCCCAGTTCACTGGGGCTGTTCCCAAGGAACAGCAGCTCTCTCCCCACCTGAGTTATGTTACTCCCTTCTATCATCTGATTCTGGTTTCTCTGGACTCCATTCTCAGCAACTGGTGCCTGAAGTCAAAAGTTCATCCTACCATTTTTCTATTCATTTGCCCCTGAGCAGCTTCTGTGGGCTCATTTCCTCCCTATCTCAGGACTTCCCAAAGAGTAGCACAACGTTCAGTAGCTTCAATTCTCTGACTGTCGGCCACCCCACTTCCTTATCCCACTGAATCTTCTCTTTGCCCTACATCATCTCCAGCCTTCTGTCTCACTTGTTGCTTTCCCTCACTCATTCCTTTGTCTAGCTTGGACCTGTTGCAGATGGTCGTCAAAAACTGGAGGTGAGCTTGGATCTTTGGCCCTAAGGACATGAGCTTACCACATGAACCTGGCTGCAGCAACCCTCTCGAGAAAGGCTGCATAAAAGCCCCACAGCCCCCACACCCTGCCTTCACCTATTTGATCTCATCCTCAGCCCGAGGCTTGCCTTCTGGCCAGCTACCTGCCTGCACTGCCTCCATTTTATCCCAGCCATGTAATCCAGAGTTGCCCATGGGAGAAGCAGTTCCACTGTAAACTCGTGTCTGCACATGGCGTCCTCTGTCCCTCTGACTTTCAATTTAGGGCTTGTCTTTGAACCTTGTTTTCTCCGTTCTCAGCCTCTTACAGAGTCTCTCTGCCAAAACCAACAATTGCAGAACTATATTGGGTGTTCGTGGAGGATGACAGCTCACAGAGTAGTTCCATGTAGATTTCATATTTTGACTTTGCCCCAAAATAGCCTCCAAATTTGGTGAAACTCAGCTATTTATGTATATATAAAGTGCTGGGAAAACAGGAAGAAACTTCATTTTGCTTTTACACATACATGTCATCTGGCAACACAAAATTCAGTGTGGTCATTTGCTGTCTGTGTGTTGTGGACCCATGGCCCTGTCCCCTTAGGGTGTCTTCCTGCAATTTAAGTCATCCACATCGTGAAAAATCTAATACTTTTAAGTAATGACCAGGCTCATAACACTGTTCTCTTTAATAACTTTCAACTACTCTCCATTTCTTGAATTAATCACCAGTCCTCACCCTGACATCAACAGTCATCCATGATATGACCTCACCTCACCTCACCTTTCCTGTCCTATCTCTTATGACTACCTTTTGTCCACCCTATAGTTTATTATTCCCTTAACTTGCTTCTCATTTTTGCATCAGTTGTTCTATACCTTTGCTTATGTGGCCTCCCCATTCCAAGTTGTCCTGTCAAAATTTTCTCCTTCAAGGTTTACCTCCTTATCTCCAAAAATCAACTCCTTGAGAAGGCCTCATCTGACATCCGCCTGGCTGTTCTTTGTTCCTGCCATAAACCTCCTTAGTATTTTGCTTATTTTTATTTCCTTCTGGCTCTTGCCTTAGTGCACTTTGTATTGTGACTATTAAGTAAATGACTTATCCCTCCACTGGGTTACAAGCTCCTTGAAAGAAAGGGCTGTTTGTCTCTTATCTTTGCATTCTGTTCTGGTGCTAAGCTCAGCCTGCTCGTACATAGGAGATGAATAGGATAAAACAGAGAGAGAATCAGTACACAGGGTATTTCAGGGCAATCCCTGGATCTAAAAAGAGCTGGAAGAAGGAGGTAGGGGGAAGGTACTAGAGAACATGTGACCAACCAGGGTAAGGCACCGTCCCTCTTTCACGTCAAATGCTCCTAGTCATTCAGACATCACGCCTGCATTTCCACTCTTCCTGTCTTACTATTATTTCCTTCCCCACTGGGGGAAGGAAAATTGCTTTGCCTCAAATCTGGCTCATAGGCATTTAGCATCATTTTTTTTTTCCTTTCTCAGAGTAAATCTATTCACACCAACCATATATTTGTTCTCTCACTGTTTTGTTAAAGATAATCAATTCATATGGAATAAGAAAGGGATGTCTTAAGGCGAACAGCAAGGCAGTTGAATACATTTACTTCTTGTGGACAGGGGCATAATTAGCAAAGGAAGCTCTTTAGCTCAGGGTGGGAGGGGAGATGCTAGCATGGATTTCTCCTGGCCATGTGCTGGTGCTCAGTGCTGTGTGAGTGAAACTGTTCACAAGCACAGCCTCCTGGTATGAGCCCCACATGGGGGAGAAGTGGGCTGATGAAAATGCTCAGATACTCTCTTGTGTGGGGGGGTATTGCCTCACAGACTTTGTGGTATGTTCCTACTCCTCTTCTAAAGGAATTGAGAGTTGTCGAATGACTCAAGTAGAGAATGGGCTTGTAGAGTTGCTCTCTTGTCCTTACTCTTAGCGAATGCCTTCTTTGGTGTTAAACAGAGGCCAGGTCGGATTGTGTTCTGGCCTCTCTCTTTTCTACATATATGTGCTAATTATTCTATCAGTGGTATTGTTAAAGCGCTCTTAAAGTCAATATTGAAAACTCTATTAAAATGGAAATAAGGTGGCCCCCCTCTCCTTTCTTGTAGCAGTTTTCATTTAGATGCTCATCAATTTTATTTCTTTTATTTTCTCTCACATACAGGTCTGGTTCAGTGAGAAGATGTTTGAACCGTCATTCTGCTTTTATACTGGATATAAAATCCCCGTATGCAAAACCTTAGACCAGTATTTTGAATACATCCAGTCACTGCCTTCCCTAGATAACCCTGAAGTCTTTGGGCTTCACCCTAATGCTGATATCACGTAAGTCACTGGCATTTTTTAATTTGAAGGGGTCATTTGTAACTCAGTCTGGCAAAAACAGTGCATTTCATTTTCTCTCCTAATCTCTCTCCTTTTTTTACTTTCTGTGAAAAGTAGTGTCGCTTCCTGTCTCCCAATTACAACTTTGTCATATCTTGGGCTGCCCTCCTCTCACTAAATCCTGATGCTCCAGTGTTTCTGACAATGTTAAACTCTAATTTATGCATTGATTATTTCTCCTCTATCATGTCATAAAACCGGTTGGTGTTAGTGGTAGCGATGCTCTCCACCGACAGGAGAGTGGTCTGCGAGCTCCTCTTGTCTTTCTTCAAAAACTCATTAAGAATATAATGCTCATAAATAGAATCTAAAAAGCCAGGCAAGAACAGATGGGAGGGTAAAGAATCGTATTTCTGCCTGATCCTCTCCCTCATGGCCCCTCTCCCTCACTTGCTCATCTGCATCCATCTGTCATGCACTGCTCATGGTGGGCACGGTGCAGTAAGCACTTAGCACCCGACACAGATGCACAGCCCCGGGAGGAAAGAGTGGAGGGGCTCAGCTCTTCATGAGGTCGCTGCTCATCACCCCTAGAGAAGAAATGCACCCCAGTTCCAAGCCCCTTGGGATGAGGTATCACTCCTTCTCTCTTTAGAGATCCCTACCAGAAAGTAAGACTGCCCACAGGGAGGGTTTGAGAAACCCAAGCGCCTGAATTGGAATCCTTTGGAATGGACCACATTTCCTCTGCAGCCCACTGATGAAAAGCTACAAGGTTTACATTCAGGAAAATGGTTTCAGGAAATGGAAGAAACCAGGGCTTCTCTGGCAGATTCTAAGCTAAGAATACCCTAAGAGTGGGGCAATCCTCTCTCCTAGTCCCTGGCCTACTGTTGTAACTTTAATAATTCTCTGGGTTTGGACATGGACATTTTCCTGACCTTGCCAGATTTTGAGGGCAAAATGCTCCATTTTGCCCCTCAAAGACCGACAGTGACCTACATAGATGACCTACAAAACTAAATGATGCCACTGCCCTCTACCTCCCCACCCTGGCTCTTTCAGTCCTCTCCCTCCGTCATGCCCTCTCAGCTCCTGTTACTCAGGCCAGACAGCTTCCTGTTACTCAGACAGGCCAGACTGCCTGTCACAGGATACTTGCACTTCCTGGAACCTCTCGCCCTCTAGATGTCACTTTGGCTCACCCTTTTACCTCTTCTGGTCTTTGCTTAGATGTTGCCTTTTCAATGATCCCTTCCCTGGCTGTGCTATTTAAAGACTGCAATCCATTCCCCAAACCCTGCCCAAGACCCTGTCCTCCTGGTCTGCTCTTCTTTATAGTTTGTATCAGCCACTGACATACTCTACACTTTAATTATTGATTTGTTATTGTCCAGCAACCACCACGAAACCCTAAGTTTCACTAGGTCTGAAACTTTTATGTGTTTTCACTGCTGCATCCCTTGTGCTACAGCAGTGCCTGGTGCTCAGGAAGTGCCGCTAAATTCTTCTAGAGTGTGAAGGATGTGATCAACGAGGAGAGTCCATAGAAAGATGCTACAAGTTCACTTGAGTGGGCAGAGAAACAACTGATAAGTCTTAATCCACTTGAAAGTTTGTGACTGAAAATGTTCTCATATGAGGACTCTCAACTTTGATTCCATCCTTGACAAGAGACTGGGGAGTTGTGAGAGCTGGTTCCCGGAGGATTCCACCAAGATGAAACCATCTCATCCTCACCCAGAGTGATGGCGCATCTATGTCTTGTTCACTGCAGGCTTTTTCTCTCACTAGCTCAAAAGAAAGGTGAACCAGGGCTAGAAAAGGTCCAGAGCAGTACAACTCAAATGCAAATGAGATTGGAGACAAAGACAAACTATTTTTTCCTTAGCTTTCATTTGGAATGATTACAAACTCTCAGAAAAGTTGCACGTACAGTAAACATCCACACCCTCCACCGAGATCCAACAATTTTTAACATTTTGATCCATTTGCTTTTTCTCCTTCTCTGTTCATATCTCTATATGTTTATGTATCTACAGCTGTATCTATCTATAATCACACATATTTCTGTGTGTGAGTGCTTGTATGCCCTCTCAGTGGATAGAGCTAGGAAGCATGTATTTTTTTTTTAAAACATCATGAGTTAATACAAATAACTCCAATTCCAATTGTATACCTCAAGGTTCTTCTTTGTCTTCCCCATTCCATATAGATTATCTCTTTTCTCCCACTGTAAAAACTCTGGTTCCCGGCAACCTCAATATATGTATTCCTTTATTTGCAATTACTATACCAATACCACTACCAGCAACAAACCTGTTAAGTAGAGGTCAAGATTTCTTTGCAGTTCTTTTTGTCTGTAGGATATATTCCACTAAGTAGACAGAGTACTGTGTTCAAAAGTTAGTTGGATTAATGATGTTTTCCTGTGTGGTTATGCTATCAATTGATATATAGTTGTGTTTATTTGTTTCTGTTTGTATTACATTTAAGGGTTTCCTCCCCGTATTTGCTATAGTTTTGAGTATGTAAAATATGAACGTGGTTCCGAAGTTACACCTCCATAGCAAGTTGTTCTTAGAGAAGTCTCAGACCCTTTCAACCATTTCCCCCTTCTTTTATGGGTAGCCAAATACAGTTTTTGGTTTATTGTCCCTGTGTTTATTTTTGCATGTACATACATATATACATATTTTTATTACTCTTTCTTTCTTATACAAAGTTGCCATATTATATCTATTATATCGTGTCTTGCTTTTTTCACTTAACAATGTATCCTGTAAATCACTTCGCATCAGGTCATAGGTGTATCTTCCGCATTATTTTTTACAGCTGCATGCCGCTTGTGCAGCCCTTTGCCTCTGGATGGCCATTTAGGTTGCTTCCAATATTTTGCTATCTCAAATAACTCTTCAATTAATAACTTTATGCTTTTGGACTCTCATACTATTAGACATGTATTTTCAGGGCTAATTGTTATGGGTGAGATTGCCAAATCAAGATTTAGTGAATATTGCCAAATTCCCTTATATAGGGTTACACTGTTTTGTACTTTTACTTGCAGTCTGTGAGAGTGCCTGTTTCTTCAGAATTTCGTCAACAGAGCACGGATGAGGCATTCGAATATTCACCAATACGACAGTGACAAATGTTATCTCAGCATAGTTTTAGGCCACTTCTCCTATTTTGAGTGAAATTTAGAAAATTTTCATATACTTAAGAGGTGTTTATATGTAGTGTGTCCATTTCTTTCCAATAGGGTTTTTATTCTTTTTATTTAACTTTAGGACTCATTTATACGTTAGGGATAGCAACCCTTTGTTTGTGATATGCATTGCAAATACGTTTCTCAGTTTATTTCCGCTTTGCTTGTGATTTTCCCCCTATTGATCAGGTAGAAGTGTTACTGTTGTTTTATTTTTATGCAGTCAAATCTATGCCTACATAAATTATTTTCTTGCTGTTGTTACATCTGGAATTTTAGTAATAGTAAGAAAGTTTTTTCTCACATGAAGGTATAAAGGAATTATCTACATTTTATTTTAGTGCTTGCGTAGTTTCTTTTTTACATTTAGTTATTTTACCCATTTGGAATTTATTGTGGCATAAGTATGGATGAAATTATTTTTCCAAGTAGCAATCCAGTTATCCTATCACCAGTGATTTTATTATTATTACTATTATTTTGAGATGGAGTCATCTTCTGTTGCCCAGGCTGGAGTGCCGTGGCATGATCTCAGCTCACTGCAACCTCCAGCTCCTGGATTCAAGTGATTCTCCTGCCTCAGCCTCCTGAGCAGCTGGGATTACAGGCACACGTCACCACGCCCAGCTAATTTTTGTATTTTTAGTAGTGATGGGGTTTCACTGTGTTGGCCAGGGTGCTCTTGAACTCATGACCTCAGGTGATCTACCAGCCTTGACCTCCTGCTTCCTTTAGCATAGAATTTCCTTCATAGGTACTTGGGTCCATTTCTGGGCTTTCTATTCTGTTTTCCTTTCTACTTTGTAGCAATCTGTTTTAAATTTAGCTCTGTCTGGTAGTTTTATAGTCTCCCCTCAATGCTCTTTTTTTTCTGAGCTTGTCCTAGCTATTGCTGCATGTGTATTTTTCTCTTGTTGTCAGAAATTGGTGTTGAATTTTGTAGAATACCTTTCAACATTTATGGAAATAATCACATGATTTTCCCCAAACACGTAAAAAGTTGGTGAATTATATTAATAGATTTCCTAACTCAAATTTTCTACAGATAATTTGAGATTAATACCACTTAGCTCTGATGTATTATTCCTCTCTTAATGTGGTGATAGGCTCTGTTAATGGTTCATTGGGGAATTCTGCATTGATATTCATATATAAGGGTGGCCTAGAGTTTTCTGTGGCATCTTTATCAAGTTTAATTACTCATCAATGTTATATTTGCTTTGTAAAAATTTGGAAGTTTTGCCAGGCATGGTGGCTTATGCCTGTAATCCCAGCACTTTGGGAGGCTGAAGCGGGCAGATCACTTGAGGTCAGGAGTTCGAGAACAGCCTGGCCAACATAGTGAAACCCCGTCTCGACAAAAAAAAAAATAATAATAATAAAATTAGCCAGTGTGGTGATGTGCACCTGTAGTCCCAGCTACTCCAGAGGCTGAGGCACCAGAATTGTTTGAACACGGGAGGCGGAGGTTGCAGTGAGACAAGATTGCACCACTGCACTCCAGTGTGGGCGACAGAGTGAGACTCTATCTTGGAAACAAAACAAAACAAAAAATTGGAAGTTTTTCTAAGCTCTGGAACAATTTATATAATACTCGATACTTTAAAGTTTGGTAGAATTCTCCCATGAAACCATCTGGGCTCAGTGCTAGCTCTTTGATATCTTTCGTATTTCTCTGTCACCACTGCAGTCAATATTTTGTCAACTGCATTCTCCTAGGAATTTGTTTCATCTAGGTTTTCATATTTATTTTCACAAGGCATGCAAAATAGTCTTCAATCTGCTCTAATAA